GACTAAGGAAGCAGAGAGATAGGAAGAAAACAGCGGAGGGAGGAGAGAGAGTGAGAAAACATGAAAACTGAAATTGGAGTGATTGACGACTAGGGTTTGTAAACTTGAGAAATTCTATAAAGCATTAAATATTAGAAACCTATAAATACTTTGAGCGTACAACAACAACAATAGAAAGTTTGCGGCCAAGTAGGCTTTATGCAACTATCCCTTCTTGGAGGAAAGGGGTTCAAACCCTCACGTCAACATTTTTTTGAATATTTATATATGATTTTTTTTTCGGTTTGGTCCGGTTCGGTTTCCGGACCTCAAAAACAGAAATCAAACCAGCCAAATTCGGTTCGGTTAGGTTTGGCAGTTTCGGTTCAGTTCGATTTTCGGTTTTCGGTTTTTTGAACCCACCCCTACTTGGTGGACTTCCTTCAGAGTGATACCATTACCAAGCATGTAAGACAAACTCCTAAGTGGTATTAGCATTGCCATTTCTTATGAGATTAATTTTGGAGTAAAATATTAAAATTATATGGAGCAGGAGATGCAATTCTTTGTGGTATATCTAGGGTAAAACTGGAGTATTAGCTTTAGCATTGCCGTTTCGTCTGTTTTTTTTTTTCTTTCTTTTTCTGCTGATTGGAGTATAGTCTTGCTTTAGCATTGCCATTAAAGTGGGAACAAAACGTTGAAACTCCTTAAGCAACAAACAAAATGTAATGTAGGGCAACTTACAGCAGTGAAATATGTAGTAACTTCCAAACTAGGTTTAATACTGAAAGTGAAGTCCAAGTTTGAACAAGTCCAAGTTTGAAAAAATTAGCATAATTAAGTTTGTTAGTTAATTAAGTAACATCATGCAAATAATATAAAAAGTTGGCTGCAGCTGACTTTTTTGTTTTCAAAACTTTAATTATGCTTAATTCCTTTGTCATTAACGTATGAAGTGCTTTCGTCATAGGTTAGCTTTAAAAGATGTACAAATATTATATCCTAAATAAGCTGCGGACTAAAACGATGCAGTTTTGAATCTGTGCTCTCCCTATTTTTTGAAATATCTGCAAGTGTGGCACTGAATTATAAATAGAACTATATATGTATGTATCGTTATGGTGGTAAAAAGAAGTGTTAAATAACATGATATATATGTCATCTATTTTTCTCTCTTTATTTGATTAATGAATATACTTCCATTATTTAATTTTTATAGATTTCTTTCTACATTATGTCTCAAAGTCAAAGTATCCCTAGTACTAATGTAGCATCATATATGGCTACATCACCATGTCCTCCATAACCACCAACACAAGCACAACCCACACAGTCAAAATCATCAATGCCTCCCCCAAAACCCTCCTCCTCCAAAAAAAGAAAAGCACCACCTATTCCAAAGACAAAACAACCAACTATATTAGCTTCACTAGAGAGATCTTCTTCTGAGAGATCTTGGGTTTCGGATCATGTCACTAAGTGTACTGTCTCGGAAATACAAGAAGTAGAAAAGGATGGAAAGAAAGAGATGGTGGAGGTACAAGTATTGAAGGCTAAGTATAACCATTGTAACTGCCTTTTTGTATGTGATACTAGTGGGGGTGGAACTAGTACTTACATTAAACATATCAATAAACATTGCAAGTCATATAAACCAATTGATGAGTTGCAAAAGGTTCTAGGCTGTTCTGGACCTTCTGGGGACGTTAAAAACATGCTTGTTGCTAAAGGATGGAGTCAAGAAGAGGTAGTGGAAGGTATTGTTGAGTCTATTGTGATCGACGATGTAGCTTTTAGTTGTGTGGAGAGTGAGGGGTTTAGGCGGATGATATGCAAAGTTCAGCCTAAATTGCATGTTCCATCTCGGAGAACTATTGTGAAGAATTTATTCAATATGTATGATACCATGAAAGATCAGTTAAAAAAAGAGATACACAAGCATAGAGTGAGCTTGACTACTGATACATGGACAAGTGTACAAAATTTGAACTATATGGTGCTAACTGCTCATTTTGTGGATGATGAATGGATATGTACAAAAGGATTCTAAACTTTTGTTTGATTTCAAGTCATGAAAGCAAAGAAATAGGGAAGCTGATTGAGCAATGTTTGGTTGATTGGGAGATTGAAAAAGTGATGTGTATCTTAGTTGACAATGCATCGACTAATAAGGTGGCAATTGAGTATGTTGTTCGTAAAATTCAGAAATGACCTCATAGTAAAATGATTATGAATGGCAAGTTTATGCATGTGAGGTGCTTAGCTCATATTATCAACTTGGTAGTGAAAGATGGGTTGAAAATATTAAATACAAGTGTGGATGCTCTTAGAAATGCCGTGCAGTTTGTGAGATCAAGTCCCCGAAGGTTTAGTTATTTCAAGAAATGTGTGGAGAATGAGAAGTTGGATAGTAGGGGTCTAGTTGTTATGGATGTGCCTACTAGGTGGAATAACACATACATGATGCTAGAATCTTGCTTGAAGTTTTAAAAAGCATTTGAAAGGATGTACGAAGATGATGAAGCCAATATATACTCCACCTATTTCAGGGAAAAGGTGCTTAATGATAAAGGAGAATAAGTGGCGAGTAAAGGGAGGGTTGGACCACCTAAGGAGGAAGATTGGGATGGTGCAAAAGTGTTCGTGGAATTTTTGAAGGTCTTCTATCTTGTAACTTTGAAAGTTAGTGCAAGCTGTTCATGATGTCGTTGTTGTGGAGAACGAGATTGAAAATCTTTTTTTTGCCTGAATATATGCAAACTGAAGGAATTGTGGAGTTGGTGCTATGTGATATGGCAATGAGTATGAGAGCCAAATATTGAAAGTATTTTGGTTCAATTGAGTCCCTGAATCAAATATTTGTAGTTGCCCTTGTCTTAAACCCAAGGTTCAAATTGAGGCACTACATGCACTTGTGTAGAAAGCAATTACAGCTTCTTGAAGAAGAGATTGAACAGAAAAGTAATCAAGTGAAAACATTGTTGAAGGCGATGTGTGATGAATATGCTCACCAAGCTTTCGGTTCACAAACACAACAAAAGGATAGAGAAGATTTAGTTGTTGACACTACTTGTTCAAGGGTAAAACAATCATCTTCTAGTGTGCCAACAGAAAATCCAATGATATTTAGTCAAATGATGGATGATTGGGAGAAGGAAATAGAAGACACTGAGGATATTGCGTTTGCAAAAGAGGTGGATATGTATCTCCTTGACACTCTAGAGAAAGCACAACATGGTTCACCATTTTACATTTTGAGATGGTAGAAGTTGAAAGGGAGGAGCACGTATCCCACACTTGCTTTGATAGCGAAAGATGTGCTGTCAATTCAAGTGCCAACAGTTGCCAGTGAGAGTTCATTTAGTGCAAGAAAGAGAGTAATTGACCCTTTTAAATCATCTCTCATTCCTCAAGCAGTGGAGTCATTGATATGTCTCCAAAACTGGTTAAGAAGTGAACAAATTAGCAATATTGAGTATAAAACAAGTTCGGCGGAGCTTGAATTTTATCAAGAGTATGAAGAAGGTAATTATTTTGTTTTAGTTTGGTTTATAACTTTATATTAATTGTTTTACAATTAACGTGCTTCTTTTGTTCTTTGTTGTAGAATATAAAAGAAGAAGAGAAAATATTATATCTACAAGTTCAACCATCTCACCAAGTGTTCCTGAAATTGAAGCTCCTCCTCAAATAACTCGAACGAATAAAGGAAAATGAATTGCGGTAATATTTTAAACTCAAATGAATAAACTTTAAATTTCAATGATTCAATGAGGATAATATGTATTGGACGTTAAAAATGTCATGTTTATAAACTCTATATTCTATTTTTCCTTACATATTCAATGAGGAATGTTGTTGGAACTTGGATGTTGGATGTGGTTTCGTATGTTAATGTGGAATTTATTGCGGATGTAATCCCTATGTTATTTTGGATTATTTGATTTTGGACTTCGGAATTTGGATGTCTTGGACTCTCGGATATTTTGTATGTTGATTTGATCTTTAGATGTCTCTTGGATGTTATTTTGAATGTCTCAGATTTAATGTATCGAACAATGTTGGACTTTGTATTTGGTTTTCAATCTGTGCAAATGTGAATCTGCTGGGGCTTGGGAATGAATTTGAATTTGTGCAAATGTGAATGAGTGACTGTGAATCTGCAGAGGCTGGGAATGTGCAAATGTGAATGAGTGAATCTGTTGGGGCTAGGATGTGCAAATGTTACCTTTTTTTTTTGTTTTTTTAATATATATAACAAAACAAAAAAAACAAAAACCAAGGACCCGTGGATCGGGCCGGGTTAGATCCGGTTCCTACATTAGAATCTGCTATTCCTGGCCCGGCCCGGCCCATGCCCATGCCTACTCTCTCCTTCTCATTTTCTAAAAAAAATTGTTCATACACACAAAGTGTGTAGGCAAATGCTAGTTTTTATTTAAAAAAAACATAAATGAAGCAATAAATTTTGGCATATCGGGTAGAAGGAAAATATTAACAATATGTCAAATTGTCAATTCAGCCATCAAATTGAAATTTAATGTTCTTAATTTGACATCTCCCAAGATGCCAAGTCTTTAAAACTCTACAATTCTATGGAAATACCTTCAAAAAAAAAATAAAATTCATTATTGAATACCTAACTCTTTTTTTTTTAGTACATTGATATTTTTACACTAGGGGATGATGAGTTTGGCTAAGCCACATAATGAGCAACCTAATTTGGTATCGAATTTGCCATCCTTAGTGTAAAAATATCGACGTACTAAAAAAAAAAAAAAAGGTTAGGTATTCAATAATGAATTTTAAAATTTTTTCAATCTTGAATACCCAAGAAAAGTCTTGAAAAGCCTTAAATTGAATACCCAAGAAAAGTCTAAAAAAGAAGGTTAGGTATTCAATAATGAATTTTAAAACTCTAGAAAAGTCTTAAATTGAATAACCTCTGTAGTGTATATTTATAGCCACTAGTGTCCTTACTTAAACTCCACACAATATAAGCTTCTTTTCCATCTCCAATGGCAAAACCAGGCTCAGTCAAAGTAGTAGAGGTTTGCCGTGTAGCACCGAAACCAAGCTCGCAGCCGGACTCTGCCCACCCGGATGATCTGTCTCTTCCTCTCACCTTCTTTGACCTCCGCTGGCTAAGGTTTCCACCCCCTCAAATCCTTTTCTTCTACGAAATATCTTCATTCGACACATCATACTTCTTCGATTCCATACTTCCGAACCTCAAAACCTCGCTTTCCGCCACCCTCCAGCATTTTGTACCTCTAGCAGGAAACCTCACCTGGCCTCAAGACTCCTCCAAACCCCTTCTCAGTTACGTTTTAGGCGATGCAGTTTCTCTCACAATCGCTGAATCTGATGCTGATTTCCACCGTCTAACTTCAAGCAACAACTTTGACATTAAAGCCAAAGAGTACCATCCTCTTGTACCCCAATTGGCAGTGTCTCATGAAAAAGCTGCGGTGTTGGCGTTGCAAATAACCGTCTTTCCCAATAGCTGTTTTTCAATTGGATCAGCGATGCACCATGTTGTCCTAGATGGCTTATCTGCATTCTCATTTTTTAACTTATGGGGTTACCTATGCAAACATGGAGGAGGGGGGGGAGAAGGGTCGCCATCTTCACCAAGTTATGACAGAAAGCTCATCAAGGACCCTGCAGGGCTCCAAGCAATCTACTTAAACGAGTGGTTAAGATTGGGCGGTCCAAACAATAGAAGCTTAATGCCTTTGGAGGTTAAAGGTTCAGGAGACTCAATTCGAGGCACCTTTGAATTCACAAGCGCGAAAATCCAAATGCTAAGACATTCAGTGATGGCAGCTATGGCGAAGGAGAAGAAGAAACAATCTGATCATGATTCGAAACAATTGCATTTGTCAACATTTTCCCTAACATGCGCCTATACATGGGTTTGCTTAGTCAGGGCAGAGGATACCAAAACAGATAAAGTACTTTTTGCCATTAACGTGGACTGCAGGCCACGCTTAGACCCTCCTCTCCCGGTAACCTATTTTGGGAATTGTGTTGCAGCACATCGAGCAGTTGCGGAAACAAAGGACCTATTGGGAGAAGATGGCCTGTTTGTGGCCTTGAAAGCAATCAGTGAAGTGATCAAAAGTTTGGACAAGACCCTTTTGGATGGGGCAGAGACTTGGGTTTCAAGAATGCTCAATACACGGCAGAGTAGTGGTACTGATAGAGTAATTCCCATTTCTGGTTCACACCGGCTAGACTTTTATGGTGCAGCTGATTTCGGATGGGGAAGACCGAAGAAGTACGAGATAGTTTCGATAGATGGGTCAGGGGCGATATCTTTGCAAGAGAGCAAGAATGGTGATGGTGGTGTTGAGGTTGGCTTGGTTTTGGAAAAACGTTGTATGGAGGCCTTTGCTTCTCTATTTGCTAATGGTCTTGAAGACATGCGAAGCCTTGTGTAGTTGGTTTCAGCACAAGTGTGCTTTTTCCTTGATTTTTAGTATGTGTTGCATTGTGATTTGCGCTTAAGTAGAAATTATTTTCGATACTGCTAGGAATAAAAAAAAATGAATAACTTACCATGAAACATTGGCGCTACAGAAAAAAATATCATTGAAATTATTAACTGCTGTTGCATTTTTAACATCAAATAAACATTATAATTTTCATTGGTGTACTTACTTAAACTGCACACTAAATTAAGCTTCTTTTCCATCTCCGATGGCAAAAGCAGTCTCGGTCGAAGTAGTTGAGGTTTGAAGTGTAGTTCCGAAACCAAGCTCGCAGCCGGACTCCACCCACCCAGAGGATCTGTCTCTTCCTCTCACCTTCTTTGACCTCCGCTGGCTAAGGTTTCCACCTCTCAAAGTCTTTTCTTTACGAAATGCCTTCATTCGACACATCACACTTCTTCGGTTCCATACTTCTGAAACTTAAAAACTCGCTTTCCGCCACCCTCCAACATTGTGTCCCTCAAACCCCTTCTCAGTTATATCAAAGGCAACGCAATTTCGCTCACAATCACTGAGTCTGGTTCTGATTTCCACCTTCTAATTTCAGGTAACAACTTTGACATTGAAGCCAAAGAGTACCACCCTCTTGTTCCCCAACTGGCAGTGTGAAAAATCTGGTGCTGGCATTGCAAATACCCACCTTTCCCAAAGGCGGTTTTTAGATTAGATTAGCCATGCAAACATCCAGGATATCTTTTCGGGATAGCAACAATGGTGATGGTGGTGTTGAGGTTGGGTTGGTACTGAAAAAACATTACATGGAGGCTTTTGCTTCTCTACTTGCTAAGGGTCTTGAAGACGAGTGTCTACCGTCTTCGTTGTTTTTATGTGTCACATTATGATTTGCAGTTAAGTAGTAATGGGTTCTAATTCATTTGCATATAAAAAATAAACGACGTGCTATTTATTATTGAGACATTCATAAAAAAGTCCATTCTTCTGATTGAAAAATATCAAACACTCTTGAAACATTGGTGCTATGGTAGAAAACAAGCGAAATCATTAGCTTATGTTCTCTAAACAGTAAGTGATTACATGATCAGACTTTACTCCTTCAAATGACAACTTTTATATAATTCCATGAGAAAATTTCCAATAGAGATTTTTTGTTGGGGGAAGAATATGAACTACGTTTTTGGAGAAGAAGATAAACGATGACAAAATATTAGGGTTTGTGAGGGTGTAATTAAATAGAAATCTTATCTTAGGTTTCAAAATATATCATTTTCTACTTTACAATATATACTTGAACTCAATTTTTTGTTAAAACGGACGGTTGTAATTTAATCTGGGGGCCATGGTTATGCAAAACAAGATTCATTGGCATCATGACAGCGCGGAAAAATGTGTATGGACCCAAATTACTGAAGTAGGATTCTCCCCCTTCTATATTCTGACACTTACATTCCCCTCAATCACTTTCTTTTTTGTCTTTCGTTCTCTATAAAGAAGTCAACAAAAGATATTGATGTGGCTTAATTGCGATCGTTCAAGTAAGAGGGGATTAGAAGGGAGAAGAATTTGGAGAGGAGAGAATCACACTCCCAAAATATTTCCATGTAATTAAGGTTTGATATTTGAAGTATGAGGAAGAATATCAGACAGATTTGGGAAAATTTAATTTCCTATCCTTTGGATATAATTTAGATAAGGTGGCTGCTAAATATAAAAGGCAAGAAGAACCAAGAAAAACTAAGCCGAGGATCGGTATCAAATTCCATTATGAAATCAAAACAACCTTAAAAGGTTTCTTATGTTTTCAAAACGAGGAGGTACCAAAACCGATATTATTGCTCAGAAAAGCTAAAATCTTACAAGATTTTCTCAACTTCCCCACGTAAACATGGAAACCCTTAAAAAATGGAAACACATCCGAACCAGGCTATGATTAAAGGGCCGATTGAAATGCGTTTATTCACAGCAATTTTACGACCAAATCATGGCAAACATTTGCTCTCTTGCTCTCGTTGTGTATGCAGTCTGTTTTTCCGTCTTGATTCCGCTGGCCACCTCCCAACCATTCCTCTTCCCGGAAGCTCAATCCACCATCGTCCCCGACCCTTCAACCTTCTTCGCCCCAAACCTCCTCTCATCTCCACTCCCTACCAACTCTTTCTTCCAAAACTTTGTTCTCAACAATGGTGACCAACCTGAGTATATCCATCCCTACACCATCAAATCATCCAACTCCTCCCTATCTCTCGCTTACCCGTCTTTCTCCTACACCTCTACCGTCATATCCACAACTCCGTTTCAACCCGACCTCACCATATCTGGCTCGAAAACCACCACCATCCCAGATCCAAACAACGACCACCATGTAGTCTCCGACTTCAATGATCTCAGTGTGACATTGGACTTTCCCTCCTCCAACCTCCGCTTCTTCCTCATCCGTGGAAGCCCCTATCTCACATGCTTTGTTTCTCAACCCACACCGGTTTCTATATCAACCTCTCATACAATTGTATCGTCATCATCCGCGAGTGGCTCAAACACCAAGTTCATCATCAAGCTTGGAAACGGTCAGACATGGCTAATATACACATCCTCCCCAACTGATTTAACTGCCAGCAGCGCATCGTCATTAACTTTTAACAATTTTTCTGGGAACATTCGAGTTGCTGTTATGCCAGATGCTGATCCCAAATCCGAGGCAATTCTTGACCAATTCAGTTCTTCTTACCCAACTTCCGGTGCAGCTGTGCTCGAAAACTCCAATACTTTGACATATAAATGGGAAAAGACAGGTGGAGATTTGCTCATTCTAGCTCATCCTCTCCATCTTATGCTTCTGTCAAATGGTACTGTTTTGCAAGATTTTAAATACAAAAGCATTGATGGAAATTTGGTTGGCGTTGTTGGTGATACGTGGGTTTTAAACTCGAAGCCTATTCCGGTCACTTGGAATTCTATTGGAGGTGTCAAAATAGATTTGTTCCCTGAAATCATTTCTGCACTTCGTCGAGATGTAGACGCTCTTAGTTCAACAGAATTATCTGCTGCATCATATTTTTATGGGAAACTAGTTGCTAAAGCAGCAAGGCTGGCTTTGATTGCCGAGGAGGTAGCTTGTCCCGATGTGATCCCGGCGATTAGGACATTCTTGGCAGAGAAAATCCAGCCGTGGCTGGATGGTACTTTTAGTGGCAATGGATTTTTGTATGATAAAAAGTGGGGTGGACTTGTTACCAAACAAGGATCAACTGATAAAGGTGCCGATTTTGGGTTTGGTCTTTATTCCGATCACCATTACCATCTGGGGTACTTTGTTTATGGTATTTCAGTGCTAGCAAAGATTGACCCTGCATGGGGGGAGAAATACAAGCCTCATGCTTATTCACTCCTGGCAGATTATCTCAACAAGGACAAGCAATCGAATCCAAATTATACGCGTCTGAGATGTTTTGATCTTTATAAATTGCACTCGTGGGCAGGAGGAGTGACGGAATTCGCAGATGGGAGGAATCAAGAGAGCACGAGTGAGGCGGTCAATGCTTACTATGCAGCTGCTTTGATGGGGAAAGCGTATAATGATCCGCAACTTGAGGCCACCGGTTCATTGCTTACCACAATGGAAATTCAGGCAGCGCAAATGTGGTGGCATGTGAGAGAGGGAGGAGAGAATCAAACTTACGAGCAAGATTTTGCAAAAGAAAATCGGGTCGTGGGAGTTCTATGGTCGACCAAGAGAGACAGCGGACTTTGGTTTGCAGCTGCAGAGGCAAAAGAAATTAGACTTGGAATTCAAGTGATTCCTATTTCACCAATCACTGAGGTGTTGTTCTCCGATACTGGCTTTCCTAGCGAGCTGGTGAATTGGGCATTGCCGGCGCTCGGTAGAACCGGAGTCACGGAAGCCTGGAAAGGGTTTGTATATGCATTACAAGGGTTGTACGACAAAGCAGGCGCTTTGGAGAAGATTAAGAGCTTGACTGGTTTCGACGATGGAAACTCCCTTAGTAATCTTTTGTGGTGGATTCATAGTAGGTCATGAAGTTTTCTATGAGTTCATATTTCCTTGTTTTTGTTACAAGTAGTATCGCTGAGTTTATATAACTAAATAAATAAAAAAAATTTCAGTACAACATATTGTATATTTTTCATCTAAACTTACCTTCTCGTGTTTTAATACAAAAAATTGTAGCGTTGTTGATGTAAAACAACATTTTTTTCATCTGATTGTAACTTACTATTTGTAAGGAACAACTTAGATAGACAAAAAAAAAATGGAATTCAATAGCGAATCTAAGGGATATAAATGAGAGAAGTTTTTCTATGTACTCGGAATATAAGCAAGTACACCACGTATCATGATATAACCGGAAAGTAGTTATATATTTATTTTTTTGTTTCTTCCTACTTATATTATGACACATGATATATCTATTGTGTTCCAAGTACATCAAAAAATATCTCAATGAATGATTTCTCTAAATTTTCATGTCATGGATAATAGGATACGGGTTCCTTTCTTGAATAACGTTGTCTTTTCCCTAAGGGGCATAGTGACATACATATGATTAGAGGTAAGTGGTGGATTGCTCTAGTAGATAGGTCTTCTTCTTCAACTCCCTGCATCCCAAGTTCGAACTCCACTCTCTTTAACTTAGATAAATTTAATGTAAATTATATATTATTTGTCAAAGAAAGAAACATATAATTAGAGAATTTTAATCAAAAGCTTCTACAATACTTTTCTCTAATAAAAAAACCTTTAGTTAACTTTATTATTGAGGACACAAACAAACACAAAAATAAAACCTCAAGCATACAACTCCGCTCCTAAACCCTTTGATAAAGAAAAGTTTATCTTGATAAAAAAAAAGGAAACTTTAACGAAAAGCTCTTGGTACTGTTCACTTTAACGAAAAACTACATTTTTACACTAAAAAGTCAATTCTGATACTATTCACTTTACCGTTTATTTTGTCCTTATCATTAAAACTCAA